ACTATGTTTTGAGGCCAGGTTTAAACTTAACTTTAAATGTCAATTATGGTTATTACCTATGGTTTAGCCCATTAAGTGCCAGCGCTCTGACGAGTAAAATCGTCTGGCGTTAGACAGAGTAAACTATAGTAAAATAATAAAGTAAGGCGCATCAGGGCGCAATGTGATTCAATGGGTTAACTAGACACATATATATATAGGAATATAGGCTAGTTAACCCATTTGAAGCCAGCATTTCCCCTTGACATTCAAGTACAATTGTCTGGAGTTAGACAGAGTAAAATAGTCTGGCATTAGACAAAGTAAAATAGTTAGACAGAGTAAAATAATAAAGTAGGACGCATCATATGGCATTGCATTGAGGTAGAACAATTAATTTGGCACAATAGGTGAAAACTATAATTGATTTGTAATGTTTAGTATAACCAATTTCTCATATTAATTTTTATATTTGCAATATTAATTAGTATTTATTAATATTTATATCTATTTTTTGCATTAAAAAATTAAGAGTGATGAACAACATTGTCTGTCATTTACTATTATTTCATCTAGATTCTAGAATTTCTGCAGGAATACCAAAAATCTTATAGGAAATTAGAATAAATTATTTTCTTATAGGAAATTCCTATAATAATTTGTGACTAGACTTGAGAATTCTTATAGGAATTCTTCCTATTAAATTCTTATAGGAATTCCTGTAGAAAAAATTCCTATAGGAATTTTTCCTATAGGAATTCCTATAGGAAAAATTCCTATAGGAAAAATTCCTATAAGAATTTGGGACAAAATTCCTATAGGAATTTTTCCTATAGGAATTCCTATAGGAATTTTTCCTATAGGAATTCCTATAGGAATTCCTATAGGAAAAATTCCTATAGGAATTTTGTAGCAAAAATTCCTATAGGAATTTTTCCTATAGGAATTCCTATAGGAAATTTTCGTAAGGGAGAGTTTACTTAATAAAGCTCTAGAACTCAGGCATTGTCTTCAGTGCCATCAATGATCAGTGATATATTTAATATATTAAATATGTCATTGCAAATTGCAGAGAAATTAACTTACAAAGATTTTTCTTGTGACTAAATACAAAGCAGTTAGATCTAGTGTAATGGTTCAAACATTAAATGAACATTCCCATGCATAAAATTGTCAAAGACAGTTATAAAACTTACTTGATTCGAAAACGCTTGAAATTCATATAATTGAATCGATTATTGTTCGACACTCACGCCCGTCTTATCCAGTATAAATGCGCGGAATTTCATCCATTACACCTTATTATCATTTAGAAATGTGTGTTCTTTCATCCCCTATAATTTTTATGGCGATTCGATGAAATTTGAGCGTTTTATTGAAGTTTTCTTGCATCGACTCGGTGTTTCGCCATACAATTGGCTGATCGCATTATTAATCCGCACCCCCCCTATTGAGGACATATACTTTTTTTCCCTCTCCCCTGGAATTTCCGCACATTTTTCAATGATTTTCCACCCATGGCATGGAAATTCCTTGGTGTATTTTAGCTAAACCATTGGATTTTTCATAAATATTAGCCATCCCTTAGCAGACCTGTGGAATTTCTTCATATATTTTCTGCAGTTTTGTTCATCCTTTGGAAAATCCCTGTCGATATTTGAACCTCCCCCTGGGAATTTCCTTAGGTATTCCTTACATTTTGAGCCATCCCATGGAAAATCCGTGTTGTTTTTTTAACTCACCCTGTGGAATTTCCTTAGATATTTCCAACATTTAAGTCATGCTGTATGGAATGTTCTTGTAGACGGTAGTCATTGTAACCAATATATAATCCTATTGGCTTACAACCATAGGCGTACGCGGCTGATGCCTTCCGGGGGCAGTTGAAAGTTTGCCCGAATTTTCATGGATGATTGTAACGAAATGACCTGAATTTAACATATTTTCTGATAAATCTGCCCAAATTTTCTTGATTTTTTCTAGCATTTGCGCGGATTTCCATGGTTTTCCATAGTTTTAGGAGGCAGTTGCCCCTCCCTCTTCTCCCCTGTCTTGTACGCCTAGGCTTACAACGTGAGGGGCCAGAGGGGGATCGGCTGCACACATACTCTATGGCTAAATTTTCATATGTTAACCGGTGATAGACAGTACACTGTATTATTATGAATTCGCAGTTATTTTTCAGTTACTAAAGTGTATAATAAAATCGTACGTTATGAACCTGTTTTTTAAAAGATGGTATATAACAACTCAGCCTAGCTGTAGTAGCGGATCTTGACTAAAAGTTCACGAGTGACCACGAATGACCACGAGTGATCACGACTGTGCATTAAAAAACCCCCAAAATAACATAAAAGTACATCTTTTTATATTTATTGCAGACGTGCTTTCATTCTACTGTCTATAACGTATAGCACAAAAACTATCGTTCAAAATCGTTTTTATTTGTAAACGTTATACAAAGTATTAGTGACATCCAATTTTAGACAATATAAGATCTAAGATAATACAACTGGTTTCAAATCTCGCATAATGAGCCAGACGTCCTCATTCCAAGAAACCGTACGTTTTATGTCTTTTCGTATTTTTGGCGGGGAAAATGACGTCACAATTTGGCGTGAAAATTTTGTTTCAGTATCATGGTAAATTTGTTTATTGTTTCTTAAATGCCACATTATATCATCTCCAAAGTCAAAAAGAGAATTGAAATATCTTCATGGGATCAGAAGTTATAACGTTTTGAAATTTGAATCTTCAGCGTTTTGCCGGACAGTTTTTAGTGACACATTAAAATGGTGTTTTATTAAAAAAACACACGATTTCTTAGAGAATGGGAAAATCTGGAATGGTGTGAGATCAAGAGATGTGGGACCAGTTGTATTAAAATTGCCGAAGTTATTTGAAAATTGCCGAAGTTATTTGAAGTTGGTCGATTTTGAATTAGTTTTTGCCCAGCGTGTATATGTTAACTTTGATAACCAAGTTGATATTCAAACTGCTATAGTGAGGTAAGGCGAGACTTTTTTTATTTATTGGTTTACGGATTTGACTTTAAAAATAAGAGGTCGGTAGGTTGGAAAAAAATTTAAAAAAAAAACGAACTGAGTATAAATGAGAACCGAAATTAATAATCTTTATAAAATGTTTTAACGTCAATTTTAAAAAATCCGCAAAAACCGTGGCTAATCTACATATTGATTGTCACAACGATAACATGAGCCAGCAATACCTAGAGTCAAAGTTCACTTGAAATGTACTTCATGTCAGAATCCCAAATTAATTAAAAACTAAAATTGTAAAATTTTTGACATCCAATTTATTTTTTTTTTTTCACTTTCTGAATATTTACAGTCGGCGGATCTGTAAACCAATGAATAAAAAAAGTCTCGCCTAATTGAAGTTATCTTTCAGTGAAAATCGAAATATAGTAAATATCGTGCCGCGTTGTTGTGTCTGGCGTTCGGTGTGGCTGGCCACTTTGGGCATACTGTAAACAGCAGGCTTTTAGCCAGGGTCCTAAAAGAGGGTGTCCAATTTTGGTATACCGATACATCTACAATAAAGGGGGGGGGTGTCCAGAAAACGTTCCTCTGGAAAACCTTTGAAGTTTACGTTACGTTTACGTCAAATTGATCCAACTGTCTAATGTATAATAATGATAATTGAAGCTATTTCGTTTCAGATATATTAATATACTAGGGAAATAATTGACAATAATTTCCCTTTTTCCCCAGAATTTGGGTATCCAAAGGCGTCCATTTTTCGTTCTAGGGGCGTCCCAGGACAGGACGCCTGGACGCCCTTCTGGCTAAAAGCCTGGTACTAAACAGGCCTACTCGATTAATCACGCAGCAAGCAGTAGGATGATTTTTAAACCGCGAGTGGACTAGACTGATAATATAAATCGAAGGGACACAATAGGAATGTAATTAAATTTGTCAAATATCTTGTTTATATTCGCATACTAATACTATTCTACATTTAGTATAAACCTACTAGTAGGTTATCACATATCGTGCCTTCTGATTGGCTACGCTACTAGTAGGCTATTAGTGATCAGGGTTGGTATGTTGGCCTTTTTGAGGCCAAATAACTCGATTTTGGCCTTTTTCTTTCTTGTCAGGCCTCAAAAAAAAAATTTGACCATTTGGCTACTTTTTGGCCTCTTTTCACTTCAAAACAATTTTTTAGAATTATATTGATCTTTAGTTGTAAAAATCATTTAGATGTATAATAAATGATGTGAGAGGTTGATTTGCAATGTAAATTTCAAAAATAATCATATGGACAATCCAGTTGTATTTTCAGCCAATCACAGCTGATGAAATTCAGCCAATTGTAATGCTGATAAACTAACCAATAACAATTAAACAAGCACTATCTTCGCAGACGTCCGCCTCAGCGGCTAATTATATAAGGGAGTTACCCAGCTAGCACAGTACGTAAACACAACGTTTTAAATTGGTTGTGGTTTGGTTAGGTCCGACCTAACCTTCAAATAACGTAATTAGAACGTTGTTCGTACACGACACTAATTAGAATGAATATCCTGACGTGAAAACTACGTTCTCATAACGTTATAGATTTACGGTTTCTACCAACGTCGAGAAAACGTTTTAAACACGTATGGGTTAACAGGTCGGTACGTGGCAACTACGTTCTTATTGCGTTACAGATTTACGTTTTCCGCCAACGTCGAGAAAACGTTTTAAACACGTACGGGTCCACAGGTCGGTACGTGGCAACTACGTTCTTATTGCGTTATAGATTTACGTTTTTCACCAACGTCGAGAAAACGTTTTAAACACGTACGGGTCCACTGGTCGGTACGTGGCAACTACGTTCTTATTGCGTTATAGATTTACGTTTTTCACCAACGTCGAGAAAACGTTTTAAACACGTAGCCAAACGTTTTGAAAAGGATTACACTTTCAGAGCAAGGTACACGTGTAATTACCGCTGTTCATATATCGACTGAGCCAAATGTGCGTAATTTATTCTATTCTCAAATTGCAATGTATTTTATTTGCGCACGTTGTTCCCTGAGCGTATAGTTTTTTGAGGCAAAGTTTACGGAAGAAATTATTCGATTTTCATATACACGTTCGAAGGTATGTATATGTTCAACAGTAAATATATCTCTTCTAATGTAATGTAATGTATTTCTTCTTCGTGGAATGTCCATTCAAGGTTTTCTAACATTTGATTATTTCCTCTCATGTAGTCCTTCCGACAGTTTGTTGTTGACGTTCTTGCTTAAACCAGTAAATTGTGTCATACGAACGCGGAACGCCACGACTTTATAGTCCAAATGTAAGTATATATTTTGCTGTTTGGTTATATGTTTTTACTGTATTGCTGTCTTGTCAGTTGACCTTTGATATTTTAACGAGAAATTTTGAACACAATAGTAGAGCTTTCATGGCATGGACACAGCATGATGCATTTTTTCGAAAGGGCATGTCTTAAAAACCGGTAAATATTGTAGCTCATACATTGCATTACAGTAAAATGGATTCTTAATCTGAGTATTATCATATTTTAACTGCATACATTCAACATGTTTGCTGCATATTATTATAGACTCGTTTTTGATCATAAACATTCCTGTAACATGAGAACTATAGGGAAATTTGAATATATAAGGCGCTTAGTTTGAATAATTTTGTGTTTGTTTTTTCCAAGATGCTAAATAACGTACATGGCTGTTGTTATACAATCATTTATGAATTCGTTTCATTGAATCTTTTCCAACACAAAAACCAATAGCGTATTGGAAAATTTGCGCGACTTTTATATTTCAGAGCACGATCGAATCCGTTGAGTCAGTGAAGTATCTGTTTCTAACATGCAAATTGTTTGCACTTTTAGAAAACGGCTGATGCGTCTGCAGGTAAAGATGGCCAAAATAAAGAGTGACTCGAGTCTGTTGCACGAAAGTATAACGTTCTTTTATGCCGGTTTTCCACTAGCGAATTTTTTCGTGCGAAACGACATTTATATGGTTAAAATTTAGAAGACTTTATCATAAGGTGATAAGTAATTTTACATAAGTTCCAGCTGACTGAGCAGAGAGCTCATAAGCCAAAAGAATATATAGTCTGTTCGCGCGACAAAATTCACTTTAGCTTCTATAATCTCTAGACTATATTACCTTTGTCCAAATATCGTTGTATTCTACCATCATAAATATCTATATCTTGGACTATTTTCTCCTTCATCTTTATTTACGTAAATAATATTATATTATATTATATTATGATTTATGTATTTATATGTATGTATTTTTATGTATGAACGTTTCGCTGCAATAAATATATGTCGTTATATAAAAGTTGTATGAGTGCATTAATTGCTTGAATAAATTCACGTTTCATGAACGTTGTGAAAACGTTCTTTCTTACGTTGTCTTATTACGTTGTGACAACGTCCTCTGGAGTCGACAAAATCACGTCCAGCGCACGTAAACTCACAACGTTTTTTTCACGTATAAGCGGAACGTTCTAAAAACGTTGTGAGGAAGTTCTTTTTACGCTACTGACAACGTTGTGACAACATCCTCTGGAGTCGACAAAAACACGTCCAGCGCACGTAAAGAGACAACGTTTTACCAACGTAAGCTGCACGTTCTAAAAACGTTGTGAGGACGTTTTTGTGCTAGCTGGGTAGATGATCTAAATTCTAAAATCATAAATATTGATGAGAGTTTATGGATTCTCGGTCAACCAGTGCTCTCTTTACGGACTACCCAAATTAAGTGGCAAGTACTGGTTACTCAACCGAGGAATCAAAAGTCCTGCCACGAGCTTGCCATAGTGAACTCCTTTTGGCTCAATCTCATTCTCCGAGCCTGTGTTCCCTTTGTCCTGCGGTGGGAATGACATGCCACCGCATGCCAAAGGGAACGCAGGCTCAAGGAACGAGTTGTTTTTGGCTTCTTTTGAAAAAATAGTAGTTTGGCCTCTTTTGGTAGATTTTGGCTACTTTTCAAACTATATTTGGCTCCAAGCTGCGCAGGAGCCTACCAACCCTGTTAGTGATAGCCTACTAATAGAAAATTCAAAATGGCGGGAAATTCGCGTTTTGCACTTTTGCCGAAGTGTCTGATGATTTTTTGGACGACTTGTTGAACAATTCCGTACTAAAAAACCCCGAAAAAGCAACAAAAATATGGAATGGCAATTTTTAAGGGTAATAAAATAGACAAAATAACATACACTCAATGAAATTTTAAAATTAAAACTAAATTTTGTAAAACATTTTACGCGAACAAAAACTTAGCCCGCGTGCAGGCCCAAGGGTGCAGGCTCAAGGGAACTTCAGTAGTGGGCCTGCAAGCAAGGCCTTGTATTTTGTACTTTCTGCGTTCGCCCACGAACGCGGCATTCTGATTGGCTGTTTGCTGTTGGATTCTATAATTAGATAAGTGAAAGCCCTAAGGCTAAAATTTTCAACATGGCGTCAAACGAAGTATTCATTACAAAAGCTCTCGATAAGATTAAAACCGAATTTGGTCACTTTTTTCAATTAAAAGCGAAACAAGAACAGACTGTCAATTGTTTACTTCGAGGAAGAGATGTTTTTGCCGTTATGCCAACGGGATATGGTAAAAGTCTCGTCTTTCAAATATTTCTTATGGCAATGAATTGCAAGAAGATAGCGCAGGCGATGGAACCGAACACTATCGTTTTGGTGATCTGCCCGTTGACCAGCATTATAGGAGATCAAATAAAGGAAGGAGAATCGTTGGGTTTGAAGTCTGTCACTCTCGATGAATTTCTGAAGGCTAGTGATCGTGATACACACCAGGTTGTGTTTGCGTCAGCTGAACAAGTTCTCAGCAAGCCATTTACCGAAGTTCTTAAAGACCGGTCGTCAAGATTACACAATGCGTTGGAATTGGTAGTTGTTGACGAATCTCATACAGTAGAGATGTGGACAGGGAAAAGGTTTAAAAAATACGTTTGTACTTGTTACTTTGCTCAAGTATACGACTGTTTTTATCAACATATGACATTCATGTGTATGTATTTTTTAATAGGTGCAAGAATGCAAAAAGCTTTAGAACAGCCTATGGTGATCTATCGATTTTGAGATCATTATGCAAGGAAGGTACTTTTACTTGTACCTAATATTTAAAATGAGTAATATACGACATGTTTCACATTGATTAAATCACTTGTATATAAACACTTATATATGCACTTTTCTTAAACAACAGGAACACCTGTCTTAGCCTTGACTGGTACAGCAGACAATCATACACGAGAGGTTATCATGTGTGGCCTTGCAATCAATTCGGATGCTCTAGAAGTATTTTTAAGTCCAAACAGAACAAATTTGCGGATAAATGTGATCAAAACTACAAAAAAGGATGCACTTTCCAATTTAGATTGGTTGGTTGAATTGTGCCGCAGAAAACAATCTGAAACACCCGAGACTATATTGTTTTGCAACACGATGAAAGATGTTGCAACTGTGACTAACTATCTTATGTTGAAGCTGGGGTCATTTGCTTACATTCCACCAACATCCAGGGAATCTGAGGATTGTCTGATAGGTATATATCATTCCATGTCTTGGGACAACTACAAAGACAGAATTGTTTCTCAACTCAAAAGCAATGGGAAAGTACGCTTAGTTGTAGCTACCACAGCATTAAGTATGGGTGTAAATTTCCCAGACATTCGTTACATTATCAATTGGGGTCCAGCACGCAATTTGTTAGACCACCATCAAGAAGCAGGGAGAGCTGGTCGTGATGGAAAACAATCAGATATTGTGGTTATTTACCATGGACAACAGTTAACTCACTGTGAGGACGAAGTGAAGTCGTTTGTTAAGTCAACATCCTGTCTTAGGGTAGCAAGCTACAGTGCATTTGATCCAAATATTAAACCACTTGAACCAGGTCATGATTGCTGCAGTAATTGTTTGACCTTGTGCAAATGCAATATGGATGAGTGCATAGTTGACCCACTTCCATTTGGTAATGCACCAACAGAAATTCCTAAACAGCAGCAAATTACAAGACCTGTAAGTGAATATGACAAGGCTGTGTTATATTCTGCACTTTTGGAGTTACGTGAATCTCAAAGTATATCAGGTTCATGTCCATTTGACAAAACTTTAATATCTCATGGATTCTCAGTCGAACTAATCCAAGATGTAGTTGAGAGATGCAATGAAATATTCAGTGTTGAGGATATTATCAGTTCATTTCCTGTGTTTGCCTTGGTACATGCTATAACAATTTTGGAGGTCTTCCAAGAAATATTTGATGATATTCCTAATTATGATGATATGCAACTACCCATATTGAACACAGACATTACAGACCAGTTAGTTAATTATTGTGGTTACTTTGACATTCAGACTCTGATAGTGATGAACTTGAACTGGAAATACAATAGCAGTGAGTACTCTATTAAAAAATTATTAAGTACATATTACTTCCTCTTCAAATTGGGGAATGAAATAGCGTTGTCCGCAATTGACGTCACGAAAATTCGACCCCCCGCCAAGACTCAGACAAACATTGGCAACATTTAATATAAATAGTATTACGATTAAGAGCTTCCTGTGAGTTAGTTTGATAGTTTGATCGTTTGTTTACAGTTTATTTGTGCGAAATCATACACACCTTGTACTTTTCGCTTTACCTGAAGTGCCAGTGCAAAATATTTTTGCTTTGGAAGTAGAAATACACACTTTTTCGTCACTTTAGTATCGACTGTCATGTCGTTTCTATCATAGGCAGTGTCTACTGTGTTATAATAGTCCATGGTTTGGCGTAACTGTTGCTATAAAGAAAGGGTATGCAAAAGAAAGGACGATAGAAAGTCTGTAGTAGCAGATATTTAACGAAAAAATCTCGTAGTCGTACCAGATTTAATAATTCGTAGCCCAAGCGAATCAGTTCTAAAGTTCCCTATTTAATGTTGTTGATTTCATGTTACTAACTTACCTCGCTTTAGTGTGCATTATTTTATTACTTTAGACATCTCTTTTATTAATAGCAAAGTCCAATACCAAAGAAGCTAGGATTATTTACTATAATCTATTGACTACATATTCAACTTATAAAATATGGATTTATTAGGAATGTAATTAAAATTAATACTTTCAAATTTAAACTTTTAAAAAATGTCAAAGATAAACTACAAATATAAAATCTTCCGTTGACCAGTAAAACTATTTTGCTTTGACAATACAACAAAAAGAAGTTATTATAAAAACAACATTTTTATTTATTTATTTTTAAAGTTTTTTTAAAATAGAGAACCGCCCTTTATTATTAACACTGTGTTAATTAAATAGCCTAACACTGTCTGGTTAAACTATTGCTTCTCTCAGTCATAAATTTAACAACAGACGCTCTCACTAAAAACGATGGCGTCCCAGACTCATCTTTTGAGCATCATCCATCTGATTATACTGTCGATTTATAAACTCAAGCAGTGGTTAAAATGTATAGGCCGGCTTATAGCAAAGCGGTATAAAACGCCACGTTCTTCTTCAGCGAGTTAGCGATTGCTTTTAATAGTTCGGGAAAGCATCGTTCGCTGGATGTATTGACGGGGGGAAATGGTTAGCTGCGAAAGTTCTTGGAGAATAACCAGC